AAAAAAAAAAAAAAAAAAAAAAAAAAAAAAAAAAAAAAAAGACAGTAGTAGCTCATTGTGTTAATTTTCATTTTTAAAATTACAAATTAGATTGAAAAATTTATTTAGTATCCATTTGTACTGTTTGTAGTTCTTTTATAAGTTGTCCATGTTTGTGCCCACTTTTCTGTTATATTTCATTTTTTCTTTTTAATTTGTAAAAAAAAATTTTTTTATTTTTTTAAAGGTGGGGTTTCACCATGTTGGTCAGGCTGGTCTTGAACTCCCGACCTCAGGTGTTCCGCCCACCTTGGCCTCCAAAGTGCAAGGCAGGCGGATTGGCCTCCCAAAGTGCTGGGATTACAAGTGTAAACCTGATGTCAGGTGTTTGAGATTACCCTGGCCAATGTGGTGAAACCCCATCTCTACTAAAAATACCAAAATTAGCCAGGCAAGGTGGCATGTGCCTGTAATACCAGCTACTCAGGAGACTGAGTCAGGAGAATCGCTTGAACCTAGGAGGCAGAGGTTGCAGTGAACTAAGGTCGCACCACTGCACTCCAGCCTGGGTTATAGAGAGACGGTCTCAATTTTTAAAAACATCTTGACTGAAGACATTATCTCTTTTTATTTTTAGGTGGTGGTAGTTGTTTTGTTGGTTGGTTGTTTTTCAGGGGGAAACAGAGTCTCACTCTGTCACCCAGGCTGGAGTCCAGTGGCACCATCTTGCAGCCTCCACCATCCTGCAGCCTCCACCTCCTGGGTTCAGATAATTCTCCTGCCTCAGCCTCCTGAGTAGCTGGGATTACAGTCACATGCCATCACGCCTGACTGATTTTTGTATTTTTAGTAGAGATCGGGTTTCACCATGGTGACCAGGCTGGTCTTGAACTCCCGGCCTCAAGTGATCTGCCCACCTTAGCATTCCAAAGTGCCGAGAGTACAGGCATGATCCACCGCATTCAACCCCTTTTTGTATTTTAAGTTGTAGGAACTTATTCATAGTTTGTCATTTACTTTGTAGTTTTGTTTGTATAGTTAAAGGTACTGGCTAAACAGCACAATGAAAGTAAATGAAAGATGGCTTCATAATCATCACACTCGTGGTGTAATTTAAGGAATCTTCTCCTTTGGTTCTTATTAATACCTGCATTGTGAATCTGACAGATTAAAAATGGAAGCCCTGAGTGACAGGGAACATGGAATGATAGACCCTGACAGCGGAGATGAAGCTCAGCTTAATGGAGGACATTCTGCAGAGGAACCTCTGGGTGAACCCACTCAAGCCACTGAGCCAGAAACCTGGTCTCTTCCTTTGAGTCAGAATAGTGCTGCGAGTGAACTGCCTACCAGCCAGCCTCAGCCCTTTTCAGCCCAAGGAGACGTAGAAGAAAACATAATAATAGAAGACTATGAGAGTGATGGGACATAGAAGCCAGCCTGCAAATCAGATTGCTACTTCACAGATTAATTTTTGTTTCATTCAGTGGTACATCAGCAGAGTTAATATGCTTTTCTGATAAATTACACGGCAGTTTGTTAATTCTTCATTCTTGTAGTATTTCATCACAAGAAACTGACTCATCTGAATTTTTTCTGTAGTATTTATTAAACCTGTGAGTGGTTTAAAGAGAGGTCAGTGTGTATAAAGTGTGTTTGAGGCCGGGCGCGGTGGCTCACGCCTATAATCCCAGCACTTTGGGAGGCTGAGGCGGGTGGATCACGAGGTCAAGAGAGCGAGACCGTCCTGGTCAACATGGTGAAACCCCGTCTCTACCAAAAATACAAAAATTAGCTGGGCATGGTGGCACGTGCCTGTAATCCCAGCTACTCGGGAGGCTGAGGCAGGAGAATTGCTTGAACCCAGGAGGCGGAGGTTGCGGTGAGCCGAGATCGCGCCACTGCACTCCAGCCTGGGTAACAAGAGCAAAACTCCATCTCAAAAAAAAAAAAAAAAGTGTGTTTGAACATTATGCCAAATATCAAAATGTGAAGGACTAATTCAGAATGCAAAAACGTTATGGGGGTTGTAAATATGAACTATTCAACAGTTTAGGATGCAATTATGAGTGTAAATAAACTGCGTGCCTTATTTACGCTTTATTGTCTCTAGCTTTTCAGATAATGTTTTGATGTGTTGTACAGTGGAATATCTTAGATACTTTTTGGAAAGTATTTACATAATTTATATCAAAATTAAAATGTTGAATTTCATTTTGAGTCTACTGTCTTTTAACACTGCCATGGGTCCTTAGGCACAGTGCAAGAATCTCCCTCAACCATGTCAAACTTTTTTCAAAAGATAGGGAAGAGGATGGCAACGTTGCTATGAGAACTGTCCGGGACTCCTACTCCAACCTGTAACTACTTTTCCAAAGGAGCCCAGTGGGTAGTCATTGCCGCGAGGTACCGGTTGGGGGGCACCGAGCCGCCTGAGCCCAGAGCGGGAGTCGGGCCGACAAAGCCGGGCGGGGCAAAGCCGGGCTGGTCCCGCCCCCGGCCCCGCCCCCGGCCCCGCCCTGCCGCTGGAGCCCGATCCCGGTTTTAGAATCCCGGGCGGCGTGCGCGCTCTTCTTGGCGGTAGCGCAGGTTAGTGGAGCGTAGGGCTGGGGGCACGTGACCCGGAGGAGGGGAGGGGCGGGCCCGGTGCCCCTCGGCCCTGGTGTGTGGGGACGGTGGGAGGCCCGCGCTCTGCGCTCAGTCTGCCATAGCCCGCGGCGGAGGTCGGAGCCCCGCGGAGTTTCGCTCTGCGGTCACAGGTGCGGCCGAGGCGCCGTCCTTCCGGGCGCTGGGCGGGGCGCGCACCTCGCGACGATCCGGGTGCTCCTGACCTGTGGGGTCTCCCGGCTTAGTTCCGGCTTCTTTGGGGCGGGATCTCTAAAGACAGTGGGTTTCAGCCAGAAACACAAAGACGAACGCCGGCTGGCGCGGGCAGAGCCGGGGACACAATGAGATTTGTGGGACCGGGCTCCCAGAGGCTGGCGCCGGGGAGACCCCATAGCAAAGAAGCTCGGTAACCCGGGTCAGTCGTGGGTTAATTAAAACCGCAGAGCCTTCCCGACCCCTCGGAAGCGCGTAAGTATTCGAAAGCTACCCCTTTCTTGAGTCCAGCAAAACTTTTAAGCCAGGCAAACCGGTGGTTCTGTTTGTGTAAAGGCGACCAGGCATGATTGCTGTGACACTTTGCTGGGGGAGCCATTTCTCCTGCCACTGCCGCGGCTTTCCAAGATGAGTGCCCAAGAGTGGACTCAGGGTCCGGGGCCTGAGCAGGGCAAGGACCCACCCTGCCGCGGCCTGCGGAACCAAAACGAACTCTGAGTGACATCCTGAAAGACGTTAGGAGTATCCAGATATTTCAGATGTAGTGCAATGCAACTAACCATTCTCTTCTAAAAATCACATTATCTTGCTTTTCCACAACTTTTTAATAATTGCTTGCTTTTTAAAGGTTGATAAGGTGGTTTGATTCAAATAAGCCACTTAACAAGTGAGGAGGTGTAAATCCATTACAGTGAATCATATTTTTACCAGTGAATTGAATTAAGAATAGAGTATCCTGTAAATGCTGTGTGAAACTTGCTAAAATTATTTGTTGTGCTTTTGCTTCTACATTTCTTAGGAATGTGCTTCAGAAACTATAGTGGTAATAACATTCCTAGAACTTAAACTTTTTTAGAGGAGTAAATAAAAGAGAAAGGTACAAAAATAACCGCTGTAATGTACAGAGCTGCGTTGCATTGGAAACCCTGCTGGGGCCATCACAGTAATTGCCCTGTTAGAGAAAGACCCTGGGATTCCACCCCATTCCCTTGTCTCCATTCTGTAGATACCCTCTGTGCCTTGCTTACCCTATTAACATCTTTACCTGGATTTTTTGATGCATCTGAAACACGCTTCATTCAGTCTGCTGCTCCCCAAGGCTAAGCTGGAGGGGTGGAGACTGAAGTATAGACAGATAAAATGATCAGATGTCTGGGGTTTACTTCAGAGGACTCTACTGGCAGAGGAAATAGCATGGGGAGTATAAATGAAACAAGTTTGGCCATAAATTGAGTGTAGAAGCTGGATGTGGGTACACAAGGGTTCATAATACTATTATTTCTACTTCTTATTATGTTTGAAAATTTCTATAATAAAAATTTAAAATATCTGTCTCACATTTAACCTCTTCTCACTATCTCGGTCATCCATTGGATTATGTCAGTGGCCTAGCTAGTCATCCTGTTTTGCCTCTTGCCATCTGGAGTGTATTCTCAACACAGCATCCATAATGATACTGTTAAAACTAGTCAAATCATGTCAGTCCGCTATTCACTATCATCCAGTGGCTTCTGATCTCACTCCCAGCAAAAGACAGAGTCCTTTCCAGTGGTTTTCAAGGCCCTACATGATTCAGATGGCCTCAGTTCTGCTATTCACCTTCTTACTCACTTTGCTGCTGCCACGGTAGCCTCCATGCCTTCGTATTTCTTGAACGTAACAGGCACTCCTACCTCAGGGCTTTTGCGCTACCTGTTCCATCTGCTGGGAACACTCTTGTCCCTGATAATGGCCTGGCTTCCTCCTTCACCTTCAGTTCTATACTCAAATATCACTTTCTCTATGAAGATTTCCCTGGTCACTTGGTTTAAAATTGTAACATCCTGTCCCCATTGCAATCTTCACTCCAATGCTCAACTGTGTTCTTTAGCATACTGTATATTTCACTTACCTGTCATCCGTCAATCCCCCTGGCACTTCCCCCAATGAAAGCACCATGAAGGCAAGGATTTCAGTCTGCTTTGTTCACCAGTGTACCTTCAGCATGCCTGATGCAAGGCCGGTTAAATGAAGGGTCTGCATTTTCCAAAGTAAAATAAAATAAACCCTTTGGAATTTCCAAATCACACCAGGCACAGTGGCTAATGCTTGTAATCCCAGCACTTTGGGTGGCTAAGGCGAGAGGGTCGCTTGAGCCCAGGAGTTCAAGACTAGGTAACATAGCAATACTTCATGTCTACTAAAAATTTTAAAGATTTAGCTGGATGTGGTGGCATGCACCTGTAGTCTAGCTACTTAGGAGGCAGCTGGAGTGCTTGAGCCAGGGAGATTGAGGCTGCAGTGAGCTATGATTGTGCTCTTGCACTCCAGCCTGGGAAACAGAGCAAGACCCTGTCTTGAAAATATAAAATAAACAAATGAATAAATGAATAAGTAAAACAAAAAGATGGGGTTAGCCATTTTAATTTTGAGACCTTCATAGTATCGAGTACAATACCATGTGCCCAATTTAAGTCTTCAATAATGAGACTTGGCAGAGTGTGAATTAAAATTGTTTTAAGTCTTCAAACAAAATAACTTATAAACAATTTGAGAGAAAAATTCAGCACACCTTAAACCTAGTAGTTAATTAGCAAATGGGGTTTACTTCTTTGTGTCTATGGGTTCAGAGCATTGATTTCATGAATCAACAGGCAAGTAAAAGTGTATTTTCTATGCCTTGTTTTTGAGGTGGATTGAATACCTTCTGAGATACTTGAGTCTCTTCTTGGCAACAGTAAATCACCTGTACGTAATTGCTCTGGAAAGAGTAATATTAATGGTCATTGCTGCCATTCTCTATTGTGCTTTGGGGGAGCCTTTTACATCTAGTTTCTTTTTTTTTTTTTTTACATCTAGTTTCAAGTGTTAATATTTTAGACTGGAAGAAGCAAGTCCTCTAAAAGGACTTTGTTGATTAGGAAGGGAAAGGGCTGTGCACTCCCTATGTTTTAACAGACTGCTTCTGCTAGTCTGTACCAAGTGAAAATGAAGAATATTTGCTGACCCATCAAATTTCACTACACTCAAACTCTTAGTATTTTGATTTAGATGTTTGAGGAAATGACTCTACTTGGGAGTGTGTTCATGTTCTGTTTTGTTAAAGTTTTGTCAGTTTTGTTCTTTATTGTTTAATAGGGCTTACAGATAAGTTTATAGATATTTCATTTTTCATTTTTTTTTCTTTTATTAGAGACAGAGACTTGCTGTGTCACCCAGGCTGGAGTACAGTGGTGCAGTCATAGCACACTGTAACCTCAAACTCCTGGGATCAGGTGATCTTTCTTCCACCTCAGCCTCCCAAGTAGCTGGGACTGTGGGCACAGCACCACACACGGCCGATTTTTTAAAAATTTTTGTACATACAGGGTCTCATTATGTTGCCATTGCTAGTCTTCAACTCCTGACCTTAAGTGATCCTCCTGCCTTGGCCTCTCAAAAGTGCTGGGATTATAGGCACAAGTCACAATGCCCAGCCTAAGATTTAAAATCTTGATTACACTTAAAATGGCATAGAATGATGACTATATCCCTAGGTAATGTAATTGTTATAAAATATGCAAAATCTATAGGTTTATAGGTTTAAAGTCTCTAGGTATTTATCTTTTTTTTTTTTTTTTTTTTTTGAGACAGGGTCTAGCCCTGTCACCCAGGCTGGAGTTCAGTGGTGCAATCTCGGCTCACTGCAACCTCTGCCTCCCAGGTTTAAGTGATCTGTACCTCAGCCTCCTGAGCAGCTAGTAGCTGGGAATACAGGCGCGTGCCACCACTCCTGGCTAATTTTTGTATTTTTAGTAGAGATAGGGTTTCACCATGTTGGTGAGGCTGGTCTCAAACTCCTGACCTGAAGTGATCTGCCTGTCTTGGCCTCCCACAGTGCTGGGATTACAGGCGTGAGCCACCACGCCCAGCCTCGTATTTATCATTTTTGTATGTCATAATAATTAGACATGATTCTTTTGGTCTCCTAAATACTTTTTGCTACTACATGAATAAAGTCAGCATCGAGAGGATAAGTAACTAATCATAAGTGATAACTTTAAATTTGGCCACAGGTGTGAAAATTGCAAATGTCGTCAAACGATGGAAGATCCAGGAATCGGGACAGGCACTACGATGAGGTCCCAGGTGACTTGCCCTATCAAGATGATACCGTAAGAACTCTTCACAACAGTGAGCGGGCAGTGAGCGCTGATCCCTTGCCACCACCCCCTCTCCCATTACAGCCACCATTTGGCCCAGACTTCTACTCAAGTGACGCAGAAGAACCAGCTCTAGCGCCAGATCTCAAACCAGTAAGGCGCTTCATCCCTGACTCCTGGAAGAACTTCTTCAGAGGGAAGCAAAAGGACCCCGAATGGGATAAGCCGGTATCTGATATCAGATACATCTCCGATGGAGTGGAGTGTTCACCGCCAGCCTCTCCAGCAAGACCAAACCACCGTTCGCCCCCCACCTCCTGCAAAGATCCTTACGGAGGGTCAGAAGGAACCTTTAGTTCCCGGAAAGAGGCTGACGCAGTGTTTCCCCAGGATCCCTATGGATCGCTAGACCGACACACACAAACAGTTCGAACATACAGCGAGAAAGTGGAGGAGTATAACCTGAGATATTCCTACATGAAGTCGTGGGCAGGCCTGCTGAGAATACTGGGTGTGGTGGAGCTGCTTTTGGGGGCCGGCGTCTTTGCTTGTGTCACAGCTTACATTCACAAGGACAGTGAGTGGTACAACTTGTTTGGCTATTCACAGCCCTACGGCATGGGAGGCGTTGGTGGACTGGGCAGTATGTATGGGGGCTATTACTACAGTGGCCCTAAGACCCCTTTTGTACTCGTGGTTGCTGGATTAGCTTGGGTCACCACCATTATTATTCTGGTTCTTGGCATGTCCATGTATTACCGGACCATTCTTCTGGACTCTAATTGGTGGCCCCTAACTGAGTTTGGAATTAACGTTGCCTTGTTTATTTTGTATATGGCCGCAGCCATAGTCTATGTGAACGATACCAACCGCGGTGGCCTCTGCTACTATCCGTTATTTAATACACCAGTGAACGCAATGTTCTGCCGGGTAGAAGGAGGACAGATAGCTGCAATGATCTTCCTGTTTGTCACCATGATAGTTTATCTCATTAGTGCTCTGGTTTGCCTAAAGTTATGGAGGCATGAGGCAGCTCGGAGACAAAGAGAATATATGGAACAACAGGAGGTAAGTGATTTCATAATCCCTCATTTGTGTGTGTATGATTTTTCCATTATTTATTTGCTCCCTTGTTAAAAATGTATGGTCCTGAAAACAGCTTTTGTAGAAATCTTTTCTTTCTTTCTTTCTTTCTTTTCTTCCTTTTTCTTTTTTCTTTTTTTCTTTCTCTCTCTTTCTCTTTCTTCCCTTTTCTTTCTTTGATCTGAGATTCAAAAAACTTAGCTCTATATCTGACATGCTTTGACTGGGATAACCCACTCTGCTGCTTGGCTGTTAGATAACATTGCAAGTAGACACCAGATGTGTAATATATAGTTTGTTGGCTGTATTTTTCTGTCTGTCTGAAGCTTAAGAGAAAGACACAGCTACTGAATTTCTGCAAAGAAGAATATGCTCAGTAAATAAGTGTCTCATCATTAGTTTTAGAACAATCTTGATTCTTTAATATGGTAAAACCTAATAAAAACCCCTAAGTTTTCATTTAAAAGTTATGATTTACTTTCTCCCAGTGAGTTGAATAAAACCAAATAAGAATATAATAAACCATGTTTGATTTTTTTTTTTAAGCATTGAGAGATTGAACTGTAGTGAACATGCTCTGAAAACTTGCCCAGTGGTTTTCATCATTTGTCTTTATTTGGGGAATACGTGTGGTCCAAAATCAGAATGGAAGTCCTACATTTGTTTTTATATTTCTAGAATTTAATATAATAATGAGAATAAATGATAATGAGAACAGTAAGAAGAATAAAATAACTAAGGATGAGATTATGTAAAAACCCTACCTAAAATTATTTTGATTGCACAGTAGCAAATGTTAGAGTATGTTCCACTGGCTTCATTATTCTCTGAAGTGAGATGATATTTTGCTTTCTTCCAAGATGCGTGTAGTAGAATATCCTATGTCATGGAAAATTTCAGTATTTACCTTAAATTCTTTTGTAATTTTAAATTAACTATATTATGAATTTTTCCTTTTCCGTTTTTCCTAAGACATCTCAGATACTATACAATTGCACATGGCATATATTGGGCAAAACTATAAATAAAAATTAAACCCTGTCCTTAGCACACACTGACATATGAATTTTGTTTTTAATCTGATGCATAACAACCAATAGCCCTTTGGCTTTTTAATTTACACTTTTTTTTTTTTTTTTTTAGAGATGAATTTTCACCATGTTGTCCAGGCTAGTCTCAAACTCCTGGATTCAAGCAGTCCACCAGCATTGGCATCCCAAAGTGCTGGGATTACAGGTGTGAGACACCGTGCCCAGCCTGTCTTTTGTATTTTTAATTTTTTTTTTTTGAGACAGAGTCTCACTCTGTTGCCCAGGCTGTAGTGCAGTGGCATGATCTCCACTCTCTGCAACCTCTGCCTCCCAGGTTCAAGTGATCCTCCTGCCTCAGCCCCCCAGTAGCTGAGATTACAGGCATGCACCACCATGCCGGGCTAATTTTTGTATTTTTAGTAGAGATGGGGGCATTGCTGTGTTGGCTAGGCTGGTCTAGAACTCCTGACCTCAGATAATCCACCTGGCCTCCCAAAGTGCTGGGATTATAGGTATGAGCCACTGTACCCGGCCTTAAATTTTCTTTTCTTTTCTTTTTTTTTTTTTTTTGAGACGGAGTTTCGCTCTTGTTACCCAGGCTGGAGTTCAATGGCGCGATCTCGGCTCACCGCAACCTCCGCCTCCTGGGTTCAGGCAATTCTCCTGCCTCAGCCTCCTGAGTAGCTGGGATTACAGGCAGCGCCATCATGCCCAGCTGATTTTTTGTATTTTTAGTAGAGACGGGTTTCACCATGTTGACCAGGATGGTCTTGATCTCTTGATCTCGTGATCCACCCGCCTCGGCCTCCCAAAGTGCTGGGATTACAGGCTTGAGCCACCGCGCCCGGCCTCCGGCCTTAAATTTTCTTTCTACACCTACTGGAATGGGAAGCAAATTGGTTTTTTGTTGTTGTTATTGATTGTTTGTTTTGAGGCAGGGCCTCACTCTGTCACCCAGCCTGGAGTACGGTGGCGCAATCATGGCTCACTGCAGCTTTAACCTCCTAGGCTCAAGCAATCTTCCCGCCTCAGCCTCCCAGATAACTGGAACTACAGGGACACACCACCACACCTGGCCAATTATTTATATTTTTTGTAGAGACAGGGTATCACTATGTTGCCCAGGCTGGTCTCAAACTTCTGGGCTCAAGCAATCCTCCTGCCTCAGCCTCCCAAAGTGCTGGGATTATGAGTATGAGCTCCATGCTCAGTGGAAAAAAATAGTTTTATAACAAGTACCTACATGTTACACAGAGAACTTTGACATGTGTCAATGTGATATATATATATAATATATATATATGTGTGTGTGTTTGTAGAGACAGGGTCTTGCTTCAGGCTGGTCTCAAACTCCTGGCCTCAAGCAGTCCTCTCCCCTCAGCCTCCCAAAGTGCTGGGATTACAGGCATAAACCCCTGTGCCTAGCTTGGTTGTTACAAAACATATTATCTTGCTAGGACTCTACATAGATTCAAGTTGTTTCTAAAAATTTGTCTTAGCAGTTTAACATGTTTCTTGCATTTTTGTTTTTTTTATGTAACAAACCTTCATATGTATTAAATTTGTGTTTCTTAAAGTTACAATTTATTTCTTAAATGTACATCTCTGTGTACAAGGAATTTTAATTCTAATCAATGTGAAATCCAGATAGTGAAACTCACATACTTCCTCATAATTTTATTCTAGTTGCATAAGTTTTTAAATCTTTTTTTTTTTTTTTTTTTTGGGACGTAGTTTCGCTCTTGTTACCCAGGCTGGAGTGCAATGGCGCGATCTCGGCTCACCGCAACCTCCACCTCCTGGGTTCAGGCAATTCTCCTGCCTCAATCTCCTCAGTAGCTGGGATTACAGGCACGCGCCACCATGCCCAGCTAATTTTTTGTATTTTTAGTAGAGACGGGGTTTCACCGTGTTGACCAGGATGGTCTTGATCTCTTGACCTCGTGATCCACCCGCCTCGGCCTCCCAAAGTGCTGGGATTACAGGCTTGAGCCACCGCGCCCGGCAAGTTTTTAAATCTTAAAATTTGAAAATTCTACATGAATAGAATGATCAGCGTAATACTTTTATTTCTTCTTCCTTTCTCAACAAAAACTTGTTTCTATGAGACTTGTTATATGCCTGATTAGACTTCAGTCACCTCTAATGTTGAAAGTTGTGCCTGTCTGTGTGTTGCTATAACTTCCTAAAGGTTAGAAAATGTGATATAGCCTATGGCCTTTTTCTATTAATTTTACAAAGTAATTGTCCTAACTCTTTAATCGTGCAAGATAATGAAAGGCAGAAATAAATAAAATTTGGGAGTAGTTCAAAGTGGCTTATGTAACAGTTTCCACCATCCCTGCATTCCCAACTCCTCGCTATGCCCCTGATTGACGGGGAATTATGGTTATCCTTCTTCTCAGTTCTCCACTGGCCCTTCAAAACCTAAGCAAAAAGAGGATGAGAGGCTGGGGCACGGTGGCTTACGCCTGTAATCCCAGCGCTTTGGGAGGCTGAGGTGGGTGGGTCACAAGGTCAGGAGTTCAAGACCAGCCTGGCCAACATGGTGAAACTGCATCTCTACTAAAAATACAAAAAAAAACAACAAAACAAAAAATACAAAAAAAAAAAAAAAAAAAAAAAAAAAAAAATATATATATATATATATATATATATATATATATATATATATATATATGCCGGGTGTAATAATGGCAGGCACCTGTAATCCCAGCTATTCGGAAGCCTGAGGCAGAGGATGGCTTGAACCCGGGAGGCAGAGGTTGCAGTGAGCCAAGATAGCGCCACTACACTTCAGCATAGGCAACAGAGCGAGACTCTGTCTCAAAAAAAAAAAGGCTGAGAAACACCCACACGTAGAGGATCAACCTCCTAAAATTGAGATTGGACTATAAATGCAAATAGATGAAAACATTTGCAAAGTACCTTCACATGCCTTTGAAAAATTATTCACTCTTTTTGTTCCAGATACATGAGCCATCATTGTCATCGAAAAGGAAAATGGTAAGAATAAAGTTTATTTCACATTATGCTTTAGATTTCTTAAATACTTTTCTCTTATGTCTATTTATCTACATAGTAGTATCATACATCTGTGAAATGCAGCTATTGGCCAGGCATGGTGGCTCACGCCTGTAATCCCAGCACTTTGGGAGGCTGAGGAAGGCAGAGCACTTGAGGCCAGGAGATCGAGACCAGCCTAGACAACACGGTGAAACCCCGTCTCTAGTAAAAATGCAAAAATTACCTGGGCATGGTGGTACACGCCTGTAATCCCAGCTACTGGGGAGGCTGAGGCACAAGAATCACTTGAATCCTGGAGGTGAAGGTTGCAGTGAGCCAAGATCGTGTCACTGCACTCCAGTGACAGAGCAAGACTCTCCTTTAAAAAAAGAAAAGGAAATACAGTTATTACATCGAGTTCATATTTGGACTTTGAGCTTTTTTCCTGATACTAAAAGGACCAAATAAAACAATCCTTTTATAGCTTCTTTTAATTTTGTAAGATGAAAATGTATGCAGGTGAACAAAGTTGGTTCAGGAGAACCAACATAATCCAACATATGTTTAAAATTTAATTTTTTTAAACTGAAAGTGATTTCTCCCAGACTTTCTTCACTTGTATTTAAAGTTCTGTGCTGTTCTTTCTATCCATCTCATCTTGCTTTCAGATGCCAAATTTTTTACCACACTCACAGGACAGTTAAATAAGAAATTAATAGGTCGGGCGCGGTGGCTCATGCCTGTAATCCCAGCACTTTGGGAGGCCGAGGCTGGCGGATCACGAGGTCAGGAGTTAGAGACCAGCCTGGCCAACATGATGAGACCACATCTCTACTAAAAATACAAAAAATTAGACACCTGTAATCCCAGCTACTCAGGAGGCTGAGGCAGGAGAATCGCTTGAACCCAGGAGGTGGAAGTTGCAGTGAGCTGAAAGACCTTGCCATTGTACTCCAGCCTGGGTGACAGAGCGAGATTCCATCTCAAAAAAGAAAAAAAGAAATTAATAATAATAATAATGCTTTTTTTAAAAAAGATGCCAAATTTTGTAGTGTCGGGGAATTTATATTTCATAATTTATCAGCTGTGTGGCAGCAGACAAATTATTTAACCTTTCTATGCCTTCGTTTCTTCATCTGTGAAATCACAATAATAATAATTCTGAGCCAGGCGCGGTGGCACACGCCTGTATCCCAACACTTTGGGAGGCCGAGGCAGGCGGATCATGAGGTCAAGAGATCGACACCATCCTGGCTAACATGGCGAAACCCCATCTCTACTAAAAATACAGAAATTAGCCTGGTGGTGGGCGCCTGTAGTCCCAGCTACTTGTGAGGCTGAGGCAGGAGAATCACTTGAACCTGGGAGGCAGAGGTTGCAGTGAGCTGAGATCGTGCCACTGCACTCAAGCCTGGTGATAGAGCGAGACTCTGTCTCAAATAATAATAACAATAATAATAATAATAATTCCTACTCCACAAGTTTTCTGAGAGGACTGAGATGCTGTTACCATTATTTACATATATGTAATAATTTATTTTCATAATCATAATTTTGCCCTCATTGAAAATATCTTTTTTAAGATACTGGACGTTATTTCTTAACGAGGAGTTGAGAATTCAATCTTTGGATTTGTTTTTCTTTGAAAAGGGAGCATATTTACTTGGTTGAAAATCCAAAAGGGTCTATAATACAAAATCATCTCATTTCTTTTTTTTTTTTTTTTTTTTAGAGAAGGAGTTTCGCTCTTGTTACCCAGGCTGGAGTGCAATGGCACGATCTCGGCTCACCGCAACCTCCGCCTCCTGGGTTCAGGCAATTCTCCTGCCTCAGCCTCCTGAGTAGCTGGGATTACAGGCACGTGCCACCATGCCCAGCTAATTTTTTGTATTTTTAGTAGAGACGGATTTCACCTTGTTGACCAGGATGGTCTCGATCTCTTGACCTCATGATCCACCCACCTCAGCCTCCCAAAGTGCTGGGATTACAGGCGTGAGCCACCGCGCCCGGCCAAATCATCTCATTTCTATACCCCAGCTTCCCAGCCCCCCTGCCTGTGTTACTTGCTCTCCCTTCCCTTTTACACAAATGGTAGCGTGCTACACACATTCTGTCCCTTGTTTATTTCACTTAACAGTATATTTCTAAGATGCTTTCTTCATGATATGTAAAGAGTTTCTGTATTTTTTAATAACTGTATAGTATTGCATTATGTGGGTGTATCATAATTTATTTAACCATAATGAGTTTTTAGGCTGTTTCCAGGCTTTTTTTTTTTTTTTTTTTTTTTAATTTTTTAGATGGAGTCTTGCTCTATCACCCAGGCTGGAGTACAGTGGCGCAATCTTGGCTCACTGCAACCTCTGCCTCCCAGGTTCAAGCAATTCTCCTGCCTCAGCCTCCCAAGTAGTTGGGACTACAGGCACCTGCCACCACGCCCAGCTAATTTTTATATTTTTAATAAACATGGTGTTTCACTATGTTAGCCAAGCTGGTCTTCAAACTCCTGATCTCAGGTGATCCACCTGCCTCGGCCTCCCAAAGTGCTGGGATTACAGGTGTGAGCCACCGCACCTGGCCCAGTCTTTCACTATTAAAAACAATGCTACAGTGAATAACCGTATACATACAAATACATACTGGTATGTACTTCATTCCATATATGTACGAGTACATTTGACAGATAAATCCTGAGAAGTGAATTCCTGCATCAAAAGGATGTATCTTTTTATTTTGATTGCCAAATGGTCCAGTAGAGATTTTCTCAGTTTTCACTTCAAACAGTGCCACAGGTTCCTTCACACCCTGACCAACACAGTTTGTTAGAAAATGTGTTGCCATCTGTCAATCTGATAGGTGAAAAGCAGTATCTCATGAGGTATAATTTGCGTCTCTCTCTTTTTTTTTTTTAGACAGAGTTTTCCTCTTGTTGCCCAGGCTGGAGTGCAGTGGTGCAATCTCAGTTTACCTCCACCTCCACCTCCACCTCCACCGCCTGGGTTCAAGCGATTCTCATGCCTCAGCCTCCCAAATAGCTGGGATTACAGGCACCTAATTTTTTTTGTATTTTTAGTGGAGACCGGGTTTCACCATGTTGGCCAGGCTGGTCCTGAACTCCTGACCTCATGATCCACCCGCCTCAGACTCCCAAAGTGCTGGGATTATAGGCATGAGCTACCACATCAGCCAATTTGCATTTCTCTATCAAGTATGAGGTTGAGCATTTTTCATGTCATCTTTGCCTTTTTCATGTGTTATGTTTACATTTTCCTTTCTAATAACTATCATTTGTGCAAGGCCTGTGTTAAGTGATTATTTTGAAAAAAATCTTTTATAACATACCTTTTAACTGTATTCTCCATATTATGAGACTCTTTTTGAATAAATGATTCATACTGAAATAAGAGATTTATGAAGTAGATAAAGGAGTCTGTCCAAGATATTGTGATTAATGCATCAATGTCATCATTCATTCATTCATTGATTAGACATGTGCCAATTAGGCTGTGACTTGTGATATGAATATTACAAGAAGCATCATCTCCAGTTTCCGAGGGCTTACAAATCTAGTGGAAAGGGAAAAAAAAAAAGACAAAAAATTAGCAGAGTGTGACGGTTGTAAAGATATGTATGTATATGAGAGAGATCATAAAAGACTGTAAAGTTAAACTAAATAATTTGCTTACAGATTGCTGTTTCTCTCACCTCTCCTGGAGAAAGCAGTTTATTGGATGTCTCAAATTCAACATTGTTAATTGGTCAAAGCATCTTTTGAAAACCTGTAATTAGTCACTTTTTTCTTCTTAAACATCTAGAATATACACTGGAAGTCACATTTTTTTTTTAATGAGTCAGTTAAATTATTTCTGATGTGTGTGTACTCATTTATTGCTGTTAAGAAGGCTCAACAGCTTTGCAAGGATTTTTCTGAATATCCATAAATTCTTAGAAATCAAGGGGGCCAGACGTGGTGGCTCACGCCTGTAGTCCAAGCACTTTGGAGGCCAAGGCAGGTAGATCACCTGAGGTCGGGATTTCAAGACCAGCCTGACCAACATGGTGAAACCTTGTCTTTAAAAAAAGGAAAAAAAATAGAAATCAAGGGATACCTGACCAGTCTGAACTGACCAGGTATGGGACAAGTAAGGCTGACATTAGCTGGTCTGCAGAAAATGGAAGCATTCCTCTCACAAGGCAGCATGGACCCACACCCACTGCTACAAATCCATATAGCTTAAACATTGGGCATAGAATTACAGTAATCATATTTTGTGTGAAGGGGAGGGTTCGATCTGATTATGCTTTGTTTTAACTTCTGATTCCCATACCCTTGTGTTGTAGTTAGTTTTACATCCATTTATTCAGCATTCATTGCTCTCAGGATTTCAATTCCATTTGTTCTAACTCAATGACAGTGGTACTAACAATCAGACTAAGTTAAATGAGGAAGATACTCATTTTTAAGCTGTCAAATATACTATTAGATAACCTGAAACTCGTAATAGTGGTTTCCTTTTAAGTGGGCACCCAGCTAAACTATGTGTAGAGATTACCTATTCAAAAAAAATGTTTAAGTTTTTAAAAAATTAAATTAATAAACACCTATTTTAAGTATCAAGATGAGCAATGTAAGGCTTATATTAAATAATTACTAACACTGGCCCTTTGAGATTTAAATGCAACTTCCATAATGATCCTATGGGCTGCTTTCCATTGTGACTACAGAGGTATAAGTGATTTTGAGTAAATGGAAGGAGCTGTCTTCCCAGTTGGGGGTCCTCAGAAGGATGGCTTTGGGAGGGTCATTGCCAACAATCATTCAGGACTGTCAGTAATGTAAATCCCACCCCTTCTGAAGAAATTCATAAATTCCACCTGGCTAAGAGCAATCATCATGGCTACATCACGGCCCAGTGAGAGTCCTAAAATAGTGTTCCCTGCATAGAAAATAACGAGTTTAAAAGGACTTTGGTTTAGAAGGTGAATCAGGATTAGATAGA